GCTGCTGCCGCCGCCGCTGCTCCGCCACCACCACCAGAAAAGAAACCACCGATCAGGTTCAAAGACGCCGTGGGGAGGAAGTTCAACTTTCCTTTTCATCTTTGCGCCAAATGGAGCGTAAGTACTTCCCCACAAGTCGTGAGTAGCATCGTTTCTTAACACTCCACAGGGGATGGAAGAGCTTATCCGACAGGCTTTTTTACACGTTGAGGGCATTGGACCACACGTTCAAGAGGGTCACTACGATCTTCTGGGCCCTAATGGTGAAATCATCCTGCCCCAAGTGTGGGATACGGTTGTCGAGCCAGACTGGACCGTTACAATGCATATGTGGCCGCTGCCACCAGAGCCCGAAAAGCCGAAGACGCCGCCGCCACCACCAGCACCACCTGAGGGAGAAATCGTGAACCTAGATGAACTGCTCGGTCCGGGAAAGAAGGTCAAAGGTAAAGGTGCGAAGAAATCCATTCCTCCGCCAGCTCCGCCTCCTCCGCCCCCCGTACCAAGCCTTGATGCTGTAAATCCTACTGCTCCTTTAGACGCACCTGCACCTGCACCTGCACCTGGCGGAAAGGAAGTTGACAAAGCATCCAAAAAAGCAGGCCCTGCGAAGAACGGTCCGAAGAAAGTGGTTCCCGCGAGCAGCTTCAGCGCTTGGATGATGGGTGGCAAAGCCGCCAAACCGCCTGCAAAGGCTTTAAAAGAGACAAAAAAGCCTGATGGGGCTGCTGGATCGCAGAACGGTGCGCCTGCCAACGAAGGCAGCTGCATCGTCATGTGAAACCACCTTCGATCTCTACGGTTCATCTTCAGTTCATCAAGAGCTCTATTGGCCAGTGTAAATAGTGGAGATGATACGACGACGATTTCCAGCCAGAATGAGAGGATTGTGCATGTCGGGCAGATTGCGAGGCATTTTTGTCTTTTTCTTTGTTATGGCCAATGATCTCTCGTCATTTCTGTCTTGGTAATTTTCCGAGCATCGACAGTTTCTACCAGCTTATACCTCTTGACGAACCGATGGTGGCGGTGGGAAGCGGCGTGGTTATATGAGCTCCATCAGGAGGCATGGCTTTTCCTCCTGAGCACCTCGGGATTGGTTTCTCATGCCTCGTGCGATATCAATTTGAAATAATGTGGTTCACGGTTCATGGTGCATGGTGCACGGGTGTTTAGCTGGTGCTACGGAGCGACATGAGCGATATTACAATTGGGTTTGGGACAATCAGAAGCATGGAAGGGTAGCGATCTTCTCAACATAACTGGCGATTACTGGTTTATGGCTTGGGCATTTGGTGATACGATACCCTTGCGCAACTGGCTCTGTCGTGCCATGATGTATGTCATGTTTATCAAGAACCATAGATCCAATCGTGACTACTAAGACCTTTTCCCACCTTCCAGTGAGCACTGAATGAAGACGACACGATGCCCAGTGATGGTCGATCTCGAAAACTTGAGAATAGTAGGGTACAGTATAGTGCCACTACTAGGAGGTGATGTTGTACCTCTGGCCGGATGTTCCATGTTCTCGTGCAAGCTTCTTATTGGATATACTGCATACTGTGGCCCATTTGGGTCATGTATTCAGAAGAAATAGAAAATGGCCCCCCACTGGAGGCTACCTTATCCATCCACCCTGTACCATGACTATTTATCAGTAGACTTGAGACACTTCCATATTGACTCCTTTGTCGTCCCCGGATATCTTGTTGATGACCTGTTGTCGAAGCCGACTGCACCAATGAAGCGACTGGGGATTCAATTGTCGTTTAACAATGTCTGTTCGGGTCCTCATCCGGGACCACCCACGCCGTACGGTTGCTCTAACCACTGGTGACCATGCGCTGGTCTTTCGACACACTCATTCATCAGCAGAGGACAAGCAGAAGAGCT